GATCCGATCGCAGTGTGCATCCCTGGACCTCAACCGCAAGGATCCGATCGCAGTGTGCACCGCTGGAAATATCTGGAAATTAAATCGCAAGGATCGTGTGCACCGCTGGACCTCAACCAGATAGTTTGCGAGATATAATGCCAGGTAGATTGCCAGATAGAATGCTGCAAGAAGATATGCCAGATAGTATGCCAAATAGTGTGTCAGATAGATTGCTAGATACATTGCCAGATAGAATGCCAGAAAATATGCCAGATATTGCCAGATAGAATGCCAGAAGGTATGCCAGGTAGAATGACAGATAGTATGCCAGACAAAATGCCAGAAGATATGCCAGATAGAATGCCAGATAGAATGCCAGGTAGATGCCAGGTGGGGATCACTCGAAGTAAAGTAATTTCAATCTCTGTTTTTTATTTCTATTGATGTCTTTGTGCAAGCTGTATCGAACGGGTCACCTGGCTGGATATCCCCACGCTACTTACAGGTCTCCATTGCGCACCCCTTGGAAGCGCTAGGTGATTATGTCTTCTTGTTTCTACTTCAGTTTTTCTTTTTGGAGCTCCATCGCCAGGACTTTGATTATCCTGGCATGCTCAACGCTGTGCTCCCGATGGATGTGAGGCATCCGGTGTTTGGGTCATCCGAGTGGAATAGTGCAATGGGTGGAGCTGCAGTAAGGGACAAACATGAACATCCATGTAGCAGGGCGAATCGAACGAGTTTTTGCTCCATGTTTTGGGGGTGACAGGAGCAAGTTGCTCCAAGCTGTTTCCTCAGCGGTTGGCCCTTGGAAAGTCATTGAATCTACAAGGTGGTGGTCATGTCGTTGGTGATGGTTCTGTGTGACATGCTATATACCTTGTTGACGCAGATTGGACGACGGCACATTGGAAATTTGGACATATTTGGGTACATTTCTAAGAAGTTCAGATGGCACAAGACTCACTTGACCGGAGCTTTTTGCAGCTTGAAGAACTCATGTTCGGAGCTCATGCCACCAGTAACCAAACTTCCCCATAATGAAAAATCAAACACATACGAGCAGTCAGCTCTAGAAATTTGTGATCATCCAGAAGCTTATGGGTTTGGTGAGTCCAGAGCGTTCCCAGTGTTTTTATTCTGTTTCACTCACATTTACCCGTGCCACTCCCCCACCAAAGAGCATGCAACACATTGAAAGAAGCTTCCCACCGTTGACACTCTGTTTTGCACACATGGAAGTGGAACCGTTCCGCCCCTCAAAGACCATTGTCCCTGACTTTTTCCAGACAATGCATGTACGCATGATTGATCATAATTGACTATATAGGGGTGCTCTCCGGAGTCCGAGTAGAATACTCCGAATAAGTTCAGAGTTTTCTTATGGACCCCCATCTATGTATAGTAGGACATCTTGGGGGTTCGTGCCATCGAACCTCTGAAACTACTATAGCGTGTGACCTTCCTCGACCTTTAGAGGTTCTGCTCAGCTCTTTAGGTTGAGACCTTAAGGGAGACTCTGCAGGAAGAGCAATTCAAGCAATTCTGTAGAGGACCAGTCTTCCAAAGGGTCAGGACCAATGATTTCACGTTCTTTGAGAGTCCATTCTTTGGGAGTATTGAATGACTACGATAAGTATATGTGTTCAGTGAACAACAGTATGACACTTACACTGATACTCCTTGGTATCATGGTTACGTGGATGGCACCACCCTGTTTGACCTCTCTGCTCTTCGGACAAGAACATCCATGATCATCCATGCGTTCTCGTCATCCGAGCCGCCTGGAAACCGCTCGTCGCTCAGCTGCTCAGCTCGTCAGGATCTTGGCCTGCGCGCGCGCGCCGGAGACGTTTGATGCACGCTTTTCATGCCTCTACCGTGCTTACCAGCCACTGGGTCCTGTTCTGCACTCCGAACTCTGAGAGATCGTGGGACCTCACGCGCTGTTGGGGTGGGAACCCAGCCGGGAGCTTTTGGGGTGGTGGGTTCGCCCAGGTGCTGCAGGAAGAAGAACGGAAAAGAGGGCCCATCGAAAGGGTCCTTTGGAGATCTTTGCTGTGCCACTCCTGCATTCTTCAGATGTGGAGGCAAAAGGATGGGAAAAAACAGGATCAAAAATGTTGGAACGGCAAAAGTGGCCAAAGGTTCGAACCGCTCTATTTTGAAAGCGTTATGCTTTCTGAACCCTGATCCCGTCATGCGACGGCCTCAGTGGCCATGGGGTTCACCATGGGCTGAGCCCATGAAACCTGATTTTCTGCATACCTTTGGGAGGTCCAGTCGGCCGTGTTTAAAAGCGTCATTTCGGCGATCCGATTTCGACCGTGAATCTCCCCTATATCCTGGGTGGTGCCGGGTATAGATCAGATCCTCCCATCTTCATCAACCCGTTTGGGCTCCAGTCGTACCTTCTAAGATGTTTGGGGAGGGTGAGGGTCCAAATACCTTCTGAGGAGGTACGACTGGAGCCCAAACGGGCAAGAGACTCCGACTGGACCCAGGTACTACTTCCCCTACGCTGGCGAAGATTTAGACCGCATGCGGCGAGCGGCGGAGCACTTCGTGGGGGAACACGATTTCCGGAACTTCTGCCGCTCGGCGGGGCGGGCGGTTCGGCCGTTTAGCCCCTTGAGGCTGAAGGCCTGGTGTTCTCGTTGCTCATCCGTTTGAGTGCTGTGCATGATCTTGGAGTGGAGAAAGCTCACCAGGTGTGGATTGGTCTCAAAGTGGTGGAAGTCCAGTCGGCTCTTGAAAAAGGAATGTCGATCATATCGATCCGAAGTTCGGAAGCGTCCTCCTCTTCGGCCTTTGCAAAATATCGTCGAAGTGGACTTCTAGGGCACCGGGTTTGGTGACACTCCATCCGTTTTGCGCTTGACCATCGCGCGAGGGCAATCCCAACTGTTCGCCAAGGGGCTCCCCAGTTGGATCCAGCAGGAGGTACTTGGAGCCCAGGAGAGGCAACATCAACTCCAGCTCCATGGCTCCATGTCTTGGTATCGCGCAACATGTCTAGGCAAGATGGACATCGAGAACGTGTCCAACTATCGACGCAAGGTCCTCTCCGTGTCCGTCCGGCCCTCTGGAGCGGCTGTAGCCATGTTTGCTGTCACGGGGATGGCATTTCTGTGGCACCAGGCACCGGCGTGACTGGGGGGGAGCGAGGGAAGGCCTGGTTGTGCTCAAGGATGCTTAAGGTGTTTTATGTGTTTTGTTTGGTTGTTTCCCTATGGTTAAATCCCCTTCCGCAGTGAATATATTTTTTTCTGTTTTTCCAGGTTCCTTCAGCATATCCAAGAAGGCCGCCGTTTGTTTAACACACCATGTTACGAGCAGTTCCATGTTGGGGTGCTTAATCATGAAGACAGGGGTGCCCAGAACATCCACTCACTTAGGATCTAAAAACCCACCCCTTTGTGTAACTCCCTGGGGCAAGTGAAACAATATGTTCTTTCTGCATGTGTGACCACCGCAGGGGTGGATTCCTTCTTCTTCTCCCAGACCCTGTGGTGCATCAGACGTGGTGCATCAATGAGTCCCTGAGTCCCTTTGCTTTGCCCAGAGCCCCTTTTTTTTCCCAGGTGTGTCTCATCTCGCTGGTCAGTCAGTACTAGTCCCATCCATACGACCACCAACCAACGCAATTCCCTCGACCACTCGTTCGCTCAACCCGCTCGTTCCCTCCACCTTTTTTGGTCCGTTTCGCTCCGCTCGTTCCGGCGGCGGGTGACCTGGACCGATCAGGTGCGGTGCATGGCCGCGGTGCTGCTGCTGATCGGCGCTGGGCTAGAGGAAGTGGAAGTGGTGAAGGAGTTGACGCCTGGATGAGATGGGGGGACGACGCGGACGACTCGTCAACAGGCAAGCACCAGACTGGCCGCGTTGATGGGAGCAACACCACATCGTCTTGGCCACGTTTAAGGGGTGCACAAACACATCATGGAAGGGATGGAAGGGATGGTGGGATGGCTGACGTGCGTCAGTGAAATCGCCCCCTGGGGCTCATGAAGTGGTGGTAAAACGGCTGTCTATCGTGGTGGTCATGACGAACATGAGGCAGATAGTGAGGCAGATCAAAGTGTGCCACTGCTCCGGGACGCGACTTGCGGTCTTCGGTCTTCGCCTGGGTTTTTTGGGGGTTTCCGGGTTTGTTCAGAACCCGGCAAACTGGTGGACTCCAGGACACCGGGTTTTTGCGGTGTGTTCCGCTTCCCGGTTTTGGGTTTCGCTTCCTGGACCGCCAATCCCTATGTTCCTCGGGTGATCACCCTTCTGTGCGCTGCATCACCGTCCACTCGCGTCGCGGTCGCGGTGACGGTCCCGGTGGTCCGCACCCATAGGACCCAACGAGTGGCGGATGGGACATCGGGGCACTTCACGTATATACCAGGACCCTCCTGTCGGGGTGCCCTGTCTAGAAGCCTATAGGTAGCGTGGGGTAGTCCAGGTATGGATCTTCCAACTATGCCAAATTTCTGCCGACCTTGGCTGATTTTATGGATGAAAAAGGCAGAAATTGGTCACAGTTGGAAGATCCTGGTATGAGTTTCCAAGAGCTCGGTGGTTCCAAGAGCGGCGGTGTTACGAACACACCATGAAGCACCTGTTGTCACTGGCCGCTCTCCGAGCGCCTTGAGTTCGGAAGCCATCTTTCAGCACCCTCCGTTTGAGGTGTCCAAACCCTAGGGATCCAGTCGTACCTTCTCAGGAGGTACGACTGGACCCTCCAAAGCTACATAAGACGTGTCGAACACATCACCGTACCTGAGGTTCGGTACGACTGGATCCCAAACGGGAAAAACCTGTTTTGGAGGCTCCTGTTTTGGGACTCATGGTGTGACCAGAGCCCCCCCGGCGTAAGAATACGGCTTTCCAGGCTGGATGTGGAGAAGTGGCCGCGGAAGCCATTGCCCCTGGGTCCCGAGAGGTGATGTGATAGTGTGCCCGGTAGTGGATCCAGCTCTTGATGTGTTTTTTAAAGAAAGATCCATAGGAAGCCTGCTCCCAAATACGTGTTTTTACGATTCACATGAATCCACCCTAAGCTAAGGATCTCTGAACCCGACACCTCATAGAAGGGGCCGAAGCCTCTGCAACAGGGGTTTTGTACATGTTTGTTCCCTCAAAACCCTTGTTTTTGGAGAGTCCGGATCCTTAGGCCCAGTGAGTAGTTCAGTGAGTAGTTCAGTGATCTACAGGTCAGGTACTGAAATGAAGCAGGGACCACATCATTAAAATGATTGTGTCCTTCTCCATCATTCATTGAATGGATGAAGAGAAGAAGTTGACCAAGGTCTTCACTGGGGTTGCACTGGACGACCTGGTCTCAGAGGATCTGAATCAAACCTCCAGTTATATTCTCAGAGCTACGCTGCAGCTGTGGCAGATGTCAGATTGACGAAAGTCCACTTCAGAACTTCGCACACCCCAAAACACATCCATGAATACGCCCTGGAACATGGAACCTGAGTTCACCACGTCTGGTAGAGGAAACTGGTCTTCCAAAGGTTGTCATCAGGTTCCATGTGGGTCTCTTCCTGGGTGTATCCCCCAAACCACCTGTGGAACGAGTCGTCTCGATCCATCAGCCCTCGAAGATCGACAACCTCCACCCCCACTGTTCCAAGGCATCGACTAGTGCCATCCACAGCATGGAGTTGATAGTGGGGGTGCGTGCCACTGTCACATCCACTCACATCCACACCTCCAAGCCTCGATCGATCCCTTGTTTCCGACTGCTTGGCGTCTCTTCCCCGACTCGCCTCGAGGTACGAGCCGGCAGACGAGTCGGGCTTGGCCACTCGGGTTGAGACGAGAAACGACGGACCGACGGACCGGGGGGCCGGCCGTGGCACATGGAGCAGCCTTTGTTTGCCATGGAGCAGCCGTTTCAGATAACTTTTTCTTTTCTTCCCTCTACTTGGAATGATTGAACCATATTGAACCCACTAACTCAGATTTTTCGTTCGTGAGTTCACACCAACCAACCTTACTAATATTTCAGGCAGTCGATTTCGTAGGCCTCAGTCAGTGACCTCATCCTTGAGATGTTTTCAGGTTCCTCAACACCTAGAGATTTGAGACCCCAAAGGAGGATCCCACTGTCGTGGTTGGGGCAGCAAGACATGCACGTGGGAAATGCATTCACTAGTCGGTGGTTTGAGAATGCTGCAGATGTGTACCCTCAAAAACCTACATAAGACGTGTCGAACACCATCATCGTACCTGAGAAGGTACGACTAGATCCCAAACGGGACTATAGGTCTCATCCTTACATTGGATCCGCGCCTCGGATCCGCGCCCCAGACTTCCGCTCGGAATATGTATTGCGAATGAAAGAGGAATTGTATGGGCCTCTGATTTAAGCCGATACCAATTTCTGGATGTTTCTTCCAGTCAGACGTCGGTGTGCCGAACTTGGAGGAAAAATCAGGGGTGCCCCTCCACTCTGATGATTATAGATGATCTACCAGGACCTTCCAAGTGACCTCTTTAGTCTCTGTTTGTGACCTTTTCCTGGCCTGTTCGTGACCTACCTCATCCTGAAATCTCAAGTTCGCTCGAATCAGGTCCTGGCAGATGGGACTCTTTACTCAACACTCTTGTGACTCCTCGACCTTGGCAGCTTCGACGCCTCAGGTGCTCCGCGACTGCGGCTTCCCCGACGTGCCCTTTGCGCCCGGCACCTGCGCACCGGCGGCAGGACGTGGGACGACCTCCCGCGGAAGCAGCAGCGTTCCCGGGAACGGAGAAGCTATAGGCAGAGCTGTAGGCATGAGAAGCAGAGCTGGGGGGATCATTTGGAGTTGCTATTAGATCCTATATTAGTACACTGTATCCATTAGTAGTATCTATGCTTAATAGTTTATATGGTTATATATGATTTCTAAATGGGTATTTCATGGTATTTCATGGTGTAACAATCTATGGTTCTTTATTGGTGTGTTTGGACCTGGTGGTGTGTTTCTAAGTGTCCTGAGGTGAGACTTTGATGCCCGGGGGATCGTTGAGGATCATGACCCCATGACCCTCAATGGTAAGGAGGGCAGTGAAGACTGTGGCCTTCTCCATGCCTTTTTTTATGGAGCTTTACATTGTACATTGGAAGGACAAGCCGGTTAAATATATATATATATATATACACAGTAGTACACATACAGACCCCCAAAGACTCCGTGAGACCTGGAATCTTTGCCGACATGCCGACGGCCTGGTCGGCCACGAGACTCGAGGTAGGCAAACCTTCCATTCCGGCACCCGACTTCACAGGTCACCACCTGCCACCCAAAAGCCAACAGAGGAGACCTGTAGAGGAGACCTGTGCTGGTCCATGATGTCTTTTGGGGACTCCTACATTTAGTCCTTTCAGTCTGGTATTTGGTGAGCACCAAAATGGGTTTGACAGCTGTGCCACTGCCCAAAAGCGGGGGTGCAGTCATGTAGCGGAGCCACGTGACTGTCCTGCCGCGGCCAACCCAGGTTGAGATGTTTTCAAACCCGCACATGTTCTTGCATACCCTACTGTAGGGTCCACATACTTGTCAGAAGGTCCTTGGACCCTCTCGGACCGACCCGCCCGTGTCTCCAATCACCTTCTCGGAGGGTATGTGGATCATGCAACATCCTCTTGTTTTTGTAGTCTTATGGTTGCCTTGTAATTTGCTCAGCGTTTTACTTCGCCCTTGTTGATGGCTCAGAGGGCGTGCGCCCTTTCTCAGACAAGCTATATAACCGTGCCCGTTTGGATGCTCATTCCGGCCCAAAAATCCATCAGTCCGTTTGTTTGGGGGCGGTTCGCCCGACTTGTCAGTCATGTGGCTTTCCTCCAGACCGCAAGTTGACACGTGGCACGAAAAATGTCACATGGGCCCATGAGTGGAACATAGTGGCATAGTGGAATCATAGTCTGACCCAGCTCGTGTTTGCCCAACGCGCTTGTAAAAGGGAGGCTCAGTGAGCGCAATTAGCCTATAGCTCATTGCAGGAGAAACCGCCGTGCGCTCTCCGTCCAAGTGTGCCGAAGAGGCGGGGCAGGTTTGCCCTCTCTTCTGGTCACGTGCGCGCTCGGCGCGCTCGGTGCTAAAGATGAAATCAACATGAGCAGAAAAGAATGTTATAGTTTTGATGAGCGGTGTCATTCTGTTCCTCAAAGTTGCCCGAGAATTCGGTCGCTGGTACATGCTCCCCTACCCTGCCCATTCGTGAGGCCTTTCAAGCCATGCTGCAGCGCCACCAGCGCAGCTGCGCAGTCTTCACCTGCTTGGCAGAGGCCGCGGCCGGCGACGATGCGGCTGGGAGGAAGCAGCGGAAGCATGTGCCGCTGTTGCAGTGGCCCGGCCATTCTCCTTGGGAGAAAGAGCTAGGAGGGAAAGGTGTACGAAAGATATCGAAAGATCAAATCTTATCTCACTGGTCAACTGGATCAGAGCAGTCTGGAGAGGCTAGTAAAGCTGATCGCAAGTCTTGATGGAGTTGGAAGATCTACAATGACTGGGACTGTTGGTGAATCACATGAGACTTGATTCACTGGTCAGTTTCCTCGGGAGCTCAACTGACTTGGAATTGGAGGGTTGAAAACCGTCCACTTCAATGGACTGACACGCGACACCCACCATCTTCGCAGCTTCGCAAGTTCACGAAGCATCCACCTGAGAATGCCCCGGTGATTCGTCAGGCATGATCTGGGTATCTTGAATGCCATCCGTCCTGGTCCAAGGCGTGGCCTTTGCCCCTCCTTGGAAGAGAAGCAGCAGGCGCAAACGCCGGCGACGGCGGGTGGCGTTGCTCTGAACGGCCCCCTGTGGCGGACAGGTGTTCCAAAGTGGGTTGGAAGTTTTAAGACTCATGAAGGCAATCCCAAGGCGAATTCTAGAACATGGAACCTCTTTGGCACTGAGCTTGGGTTGCATGAAGACAGGAGATTTGTTGTTTTTGATGTGTTTTCTGATGTTTTCACTACAAACACTTAACTGCCATATTACATAGCCCTTGCAATTGCTTAAGCTCTCTTGATATCTCTTGTAGACTCTTTGTAACACCTCCCGCATACTGTTCACATAGGTATCAATGCCACCAATCCATTCTGCACCTTCTAAGAAGCACAGTGTCCCGTCCACGAGTCCTCACCGTCCTCCTCCCGGTCACCGTGTGTCCCGTCGGGTGACCGCTTCGCTTCAGGCCATGCACGACAAGCGCCGTGCCAAGAGCGAGGCGACCGGTGCACCGGTCAGCGTTATCACGAGCGTCGAACGGCACGAGGCCCTCGGGGTCCTAAGCTACGGGGGGGTCCTATAGAGACGTGCAACGTGATTGACGTCGCAAGTGGTCCATTGGTTTAAGAGCCTGAATTTGGAACAACCATGGTTTTGGCTATAAGGACTTGACCTTACAAAGCGAGATCAACCAATTTAGAGGGTCTTGGGCTTCCAGGGGCCAAAATGAGCAGACTAAGACCAGAACCGCCCCGCATTCGAGTGGACCAATTCGACGCGACGGTTCGATTGAACCCCTAGACGCCCCTCTGGATTTCATGGTTCACTTCGGGGTGGGAGACCCTATATCCATCGGCGGCAGAAACACCTGGTATTTGGGGAGACCTCGCAATCAAGACCTTTCTACAAACTTCAAGCACTTCCTTGGTTTGCCATGGTGATGTGTTTCGTTATTTTTTGCAGCCGCAGCTGTGATGTGATGATTCTCCCACAGAAAGAAAAGAAATGTCGTTTTGTGGGAGTTTGTAGGCACGAAACCAGGTGTTGGAGTGAACCGCGCCCTCAACACACCTGCGGTATCCTCCATTTTGTCAAGGGTTTGAGGTGCCACAGTTGCTGTGCCACAGGGTCCATGGTCAAGTCTGAACTTTAAAATTGCTCGCAAGCTGGTTTTCAAGAGGTGAAGGGAGATGACGTGAGTCATGCATTGAGTCCTCACTGGCTAGGAATTTCTTCCCGGGCTTTTTTGCCTGCTTGTCTCAGGTGATTGTTTTGATTTTCACCAACTGAGATGAACTGGGTAAATCCCCCATACCTAGGCGACGACTTTTTCCAGGTTCGGAGCCGCAAGTTTGCCCAGACGCTCACGTGATGGACCTCCCTTTAGACCGTCCCCCTCTCCCGGACCCGGTTGTTCGGACGTGTCAGGCAGAGGAGCAGCTCGAGTGAGCCGGAAAAGAGTGGTCCGACGGAGGGATGGCGGGGGAGCATGGCGGCCTAAGTGCCCGTCAGCCAGTGACCCTTCAGCCTGGTGACGAAACGTGGATCACGTGCCGAAGCGTTTCTCCGGGATTGGGGTCTTCTTGTTTCCAGGAAAACCGGCTCGGGAGTCAGGAAAAAGGTTGCAATTGATTCTGTATAGGCGAAGGGGCAAGTTCAGCAAGTCTGCATTAACCATCCCGAGTGATGGAGTTAAACCATACCACCGAGTGATGGAGGAAGCATGAGCTCAGCTAGTCTTCCAAAGGTTCATTTCCTAGGTTCCACGTTCATCTTCCAGATAGTGTAACTTTGCATGGCTGACATGTGGTGAATTGCACACGGAGTGCCAAAAGGCTTTTTGGCCTTATATAGTTAAATTAGAGGACATCTTGATGCCATCTACTCTGAAACCACTATATAGTAGGTGCGTCCATGTGAGTCCTATATACTTCATGAGGTGGGGCAGATTCTCAGCCCGATAGCCCACACCGAAGTCAGAACTTAAGCACGATAACGGTTCCAACGTCCAATCGCTTCCAATCAAGACTCTCAGCAGCCATGAAGGACCCTGAAACAGGACCTCCTCAGGGAGACCTCCCAGGCATTCCGACCCCGGAAATGGCCAGTCTCTCTCCAGCCAGGGTTTGATGAGGTCTTCCCTATGCAAATAATCCGGTCCACCTAATAAAAAACACGAGGGCCCCGCCCCCCCTAATAAGGAAACCTCGGTCGCATTTTTTTAAATAGGGGGTCCCTGAAATCGGTAAAATTTTATATAAAAGTAAAATGCAAAAAAGTAAATCAGTAAAATTATATATAAAATCCTTTATTAAACTCGTATCAAAAATGCAAAAAAGCTCCAGATCGAAGGGTCTTCCTTTTCCCCTACAAAAACCTTCATTAGAATAGTGATTCTTCAGTAGACTAACAGCTAAAGCTTTCGAAAGGTGATGTCGGTGCGGTGTTGCATGACCTCGGTGGCAAGTGCGTTTGCGTGAGTCCGTGCCATTGGGGGAAGGAAAGCCTGCTGGTGTAAGCGCGGCGTGTCATGGTGGATAGACAGGGCGGACAGAGGTGGGCAGTTACGGTTGTTTTTGGAACCTAATAAAAAAACTCCTCCAAAGTCGGCAATGTTGGTAGTTTAGTAGCGGCTTGAAAGGGCGGTAATTTAAAAACAAATATAAACCGTATTTAGGGGTTTCCGACATGACTTTTTTCTAATAGGGGTCCGTTTTTTAATAGGTACTCGGGATTAATTACGCCCAATCTCATCTCCACAAGCTCTTCTCAAAAGTTCAAGGTCGACTCATTTTACCCTGGTGGTGGCAATGTAGTGGTGACTTTGTGACGACCAACGTGGAAAGACCATGGGTCAAACACCCAGACACGACTACTGGGACTGGTATAAGCCTGCCGCCCCAGAGGCAACGCCCGTTTTGAAGGCAGTCCGCCAGTCCCAGACAGGCCGTGTTTGGGTCCAACATGGCTTTGTTCGCCCTTCCCGGGCGCCACCCCAACCCCCCGCCATGCGAACCACGGACTCCGAAGCGGAACTGATCCGTTTTTCAAGCCCTTTGGACCTCCACGTGATATAGGTCCGTCAATCCATCCATCCACTACATACCACTAGTTCCGGGGGCCGCTGCAAAATCATTTGCTAGGCGGTATTGACTACCTGGCACGAGTTCATCGAGTCACCAGTGCCGGGGGGTTTAGTAAAGGTTCCATATAAACCACCTTTTGGGGATTAGTGAAAGCTGTTGCATTTGGTCGGTGAAAGCATAAGCAGCCGGAGTTAATGACTTGGCCTTTGCAGAATCGCCTCCTGCGCCCCTCGATCGACCCAACTAGGCCCCGCCCCCCCTCAGCCCTCGCCAGGCGTCGCGGAGTTCGCCGAGGCCTTGCGGCAGATCGCCCCGGGGACCCAAGCACCGCGTCGTCCGGGGTCGTCGGGTCGTCCTGACTGCGTCTTCCCAGGCACGACCTGTCTGGGTCGGCCTCTGGGGCGGCAGTCCTATGACAGTCCCATGGAGTGTATGACAGTGTGTATGACACACAGGTTATTCTGATCTGGTTTCCGGATGTTTCCGGATGTTTCATCTATTAACCTGCCAGGTGATATCCTAATGCCTGCGAACAGGTTTTTGAGGGTGGGCCTTTTGTGGAAGAGTCCCCGGGGAAAAATGGAGGATCACCTGTCAAAAGTTGACGGTTCTTTTTTTTGTGGGGGTTAAGTTGGGAGAACTTCACGTGAACAAGAATTCGGTGAAGAAGCTTGGTGGGATTTCAACCGAGGGGGGCGGCCGTTTTGGAAGCGGGCTTACTCGCGGCGGGCTTACTCTCGGCGGCCTTCCTCGGGCCAGGTGCTTCACAGAGGTGGTTCAATCCACCCGGTTGTCGACACGACACCGAGAAGGTCGGCGCCAGATTGACGCGTCGGCCCCAAACCCATGGCGAGTCAGAATGTAGGTACAGGTATACACTCTTGATGAACAACACCCTGAAGAGGTTTTCCAATCCAAACGGTAGGGGGTTCTATAAATCAAGAGTCTACAGATATATGGCATAACCTCCCGAAGATTGACATGAACCCTACTGAAAACCACTGGATGGAATAGTCTCACAGGGGTCCATATATTCTCAGTCCATGTTAGTTTGCCGGATGATACGTGGGGTGTTTGGGCCATGCACTTCGGCTGTTGGGCATGCTTTCGTGCGCCCACGACGCGCGATCGGATTTCTGCGACAACGGCTGAGGCTGACAAGAGAGGATGTGACATCGATGAGATTCACCAGGCATGTTGCATGTTTTTCCCTGTGCAGTTGCAGGTTCAACTTGAAATGATTATAGAATAGACGATTGACTAGTAAAACCTCCAATATGGGAGATGTAAAACCATTCCGGCGGGGAGGGGTTTCTTCGTTTGCAGATGCACCATGTCTTAGGTGGCCATGTTCGCGATGTTCCATGTCATTTCATTGTGGTTCCATCTTGGTTCATTGATGTTCATTGTGGTTCATTGTCATTTCATTGTGGTCCCAAGCAACATCACATAGACTTGCTGCCATGTTTATTCCACCCGGTCGGTTCCAAAGCTGGACGAGTCGATCGCACAGGCCTTGGCCATTCACTCAGATCACCAGGCGCACCGGTTCATCCGGTTCGCACAAGCAGCGCGTTCATCGTTTCGTGTGGAGGCCGATTCTTCTCACGGCGGGTCCGGTGGGCACTTCTTGGACACGCCGGGTGTTGTTTTGGGATGATTCTATGTCCAACGGCTGGATGATTGGACGGTCATCTACCAAGTTCATCTACCTGGACCGGACTTGTACTGTACACTGGAAAATGCAACATGACATGACGTGAAAAAGGGTGCTTGTACCTAAATTCTGAGGACCTTTTGTAAAGAGTCATGATGTCAAGATGTCATGTCAAGATGTTCTGTCATGTAAAGGGTGTAATGTAGTGAAAAAGAGTCATGTAACGACTCTTTTGATTACCTATATTCTGAGGAACGAACTGAAGCTCCAGGTGCATTTCCCAGGCGTTGGCTCCTCCCAACCGGGGCTCCATGAGCGTAAACGGGCAGGGATGTTTCTGGTGACACACCGCCTGGCTTACAGTTCGGGGCCCGGAAAGCCTCCTGTAAACTGTAAACCGACCACTCTCATTGCAGGAGAACGCATCGCCTACATGGTGGCTTTGGCTGGAGGGCGGACCGTTATGAGTTATGAGGGAGGTATTGGTTCATTACTTGCTAAAGGACTGGCGCCAGTCCAACCAAACCGAATGCCATTGGTGAGTCACTCCATTCCGTTCGTGCCCTGTTGATGACCATTGTTTGGGGGAGTAAATGTAGCTATAAGGTCTTGATAACAATTTGCAGATCGATCTGCGCCATGAAAGGCGCTTCACCAACGGAGTCAAAGATCTTAAAGAGATTTAAAGAGGCTCCCCATCCACTTGGAGAGTGGAGGCAGCCAACCAAGAACACCAACCGATAGTGCCAATGGATTCGCTTGATGTTTTGATCCTGTGGCAGTGGCATAATTAAACTCGGGGATCAAGTTACCTACTAACGAATATTTTTCTTTGCAGGTCAGTAGAACCTATTTTGACATCACGTGTCAATTAAGATTTGAATCAATCAAGGCACCATTTGTCTCACAAATATCCAGGATCATCAAAATGATGATCCCCAAATTTGGTTTACAGTAGACATGTATAGACAGATGATGAGAGGGTTTATGCCATCATCCCCGAAACCAAATTACTATTTGGTTCCATTCATGTTGGACGGCTGGACGGCTTTTTCCTGGCCTACAACCTTCTGAACTCACCGATGGGACCGCCGGGGTTATGGCATACCCACCAGTACAGATCACCTGCAGCGTCACCGTCCGGACCGGTGGTGACAGTTGCCCCACTCGACTCTGAACAGGTGGACGGTCCAAACGCGGTCGAGAGACACCAAACCGACCCTGAGACCCACCCAAACCATCCCAAACCGCTTGGTGGCGTCGGAGCCGGTGTCCGAGGGTCCGTCGGATCCTTGGATCGCAGCTCCGAAACCCGCCACCTCAGGGAACGAGACATGAACTCGTATGCCTCGGCCCACGCGGCGCGCAAGGAGGAAGAGAGACGCGAAGAGAGACGCCTCGCCGCTGGAAAGACGTGGTCAGAAGAACGGAACTCCCCCGGCTTAGGAAGGCTGTGAGCTAGTCGTGATCACATCAAGAAGCACAAAGGGTCAGAGTTTCGGTTGGAGACTCATGGGGAAACCACCCCGCGGCATCTTCACAGAGTGGTTTCCGAGTTCCAGCAATTGGAAAAAAGGAGAAACCTCAGGTTTTCTTCACTCAGGGGTTCGAAGTACCTCCGTTTCGGTTCGGTGTGTTGGGATGAAGTTCAAATACCTGCCGAGGATGGTACGACTGGAGCACACATGCGGCACACAACTTGAGCCACAGGGACGCAGAGCATTGCACCACAGCGAACTACAAACATGGTGAGCGTATCGAATTCATCTCCAGGATCTTCGTGCGGTGCAGCTTTCATCCGAACCGGAACGAGATAGTCACCACGAACTTCCTACAGTCCGAGAAGCAGAATCCTGCACGGGACAGAGTATGCATTTGGAAGACTTTGGTTGCAGAACACGGACGGGTCGGACAGGCGGAAGTCGGACCACATCGAGGTTAGGATCTTTGAGACGGAGAGCCAGTCCATGGATAGCCTGATCTGTCCAGTTCAGTGGTTTTCGCACATATCTTCTCAGGCCGCCGCCGACCAGGTGACTTCCAAGAGGCAGTTGACGCCTTGTTTTCCTTCTGTTTCCTTTTGTCTCCCTTCTTGCATGTTGATGTCTCAAAAAGTGGACTCGGGAATGCTTCGTTGTTGTCCCACCTGTTTGGAGTCTACGGTGGTGTTATGTTCTTGTATCCTGGTGTTACTTGAAGAATTCGGCTCCTCCCCCCGATTTGTCACATCACAATCCTCAATCCTCAACAAGACTTGGCCATGAGCAAGTTGATGACACTGACAAGTAAGTCAAAGCAATGCTAGAACCCAACAATGCCGGGAACACCAGTTGCCGGTGGCGGGGGTCCAGGACCATGCTGCCAAGCAGCGGCACCTGAGCGTCGAGGGCCTGCGAACGGGCCAGCTCCTGGACCGACGACGCACACACACTTATGGCGTCGAACGGATCGAGTGAATGGAGCTGGATTTGAGTACCGGGTCTCCCGCCCCACTGGAACATGGGACATGTAACCACAACACAAACATATATATATATATATTATATTGTTATATGGTGCTTGTACCCATCTTTGGAGGTACGAACTGAGACTCCAGGCATTTCTAACATCCAATGAAACCATCCAGTTTCGCAGGTTCCAAAGGGCCCCTGGAAGTACCTTGGTTAGCTCTTGCCACAAAAAACATCCTCGACCATTTGCTGAAAATTCTGGGGTCTTCGAGCACTAATGTCAGCCAAAGCACAGGGTTCACGCAAGCTACCAGCACCTTCCAGGCCAACAGGCTTCTCCTGGAAACACAAGTTCGGTGCCCAAAACACAATTGTTATAGGGTCTCTCAACGCAGCCTGTTGGATGGAGGGTCCTTGTGTATTTGTAGGGCTCCAGTCATACCTGGGCCAGGGGTGGGTTTAGGGGGCCTAATCACCGAACCTGAGAATAGGGGACAGGGCATCTCAGTTTCCAGAGACAGGAGTGATTGGAGGGGGTCATAGTCTGTCAGTCATGGGTTTCCAAGCCTCAAAGGTCCTGCCATGGGCGGCTGCTCTTGCGCCGCCCTGGCGACACGGAGCACCGCCGCCATCGAAGGACGTGTGGATGGATTACTCCGAGGGTGACGTTCACATGGGCCGTCGCACGCTGACGGCCAGCGGAGGAGGTCGCGGTCGCAGTCCGTGCGTGGTGGGCCGTGTGTGTTTCGGTGCTTTTGGTTGATCCAAAGGGGGGGAGGTCATGCACCATGGAAGCCTTACACACTGGCGGAGATCGGCCTTGAAAGTGGCCTGACCGCGTTCATGTATGTAGATAAGAAGTGTTTGGACGTTGGAAGGGTTAGGAGTTGCCCCGGCAAGATGTGATTTCGGTACGGGCCATTCCGGAATTGGGAGGTTATGCTGATAGTCTTGATATCACTACTGAAGAAGTAGTAGAAAGTGCATGAAAGTGCAATCGACAAATTGAAAAGCCAGGACCAGATGGGTGTATCACAGAACTGTTCAAATTTCTAGACCACGGCAATATTCAAAGTTTGACCGCATGTTTCAACCATTTTTGGCGACACAAATATGTTCCGGATGATTTTACCCGAGCACAGATAGCAAGCATTTACAAAAAAGGAGATCCAGATAATCCCGAAAACTATCATCCTATCTCAGTACTGAACACAAGTTACAAAATTGTTGCCTACATTCTCAAAAAAACAGACTTCTGACATTATTGACGGACACTTGGGCAACACACAGTTCGGTTTCAGAAAAAGCAGGTCCACAGTAGAACCAATATTCTGTGTCAGAAGACTCGCTGATTTTGCTGAGCAGGGTAACGACCCCCTGTGGCTCATTTTCTTAGATTGGGAGAAGGCGTTTGATAAACGTGACCATGAAAAAATGTTTGCATCATTATCTAGATTGAATATACCAGATAGCATCATATTACAATATTGCAATTAAATCAATCTACAGAAACCTGAGTTCAGAGTTGCGGTCAAAACCCACTTCAGTCCATGGCTAAAACGAAGAACGGGAATACGGCAAGGATGTCCTTTGAGCCCATATCTTTTCATCCTTACAATGCACCGCATGTTTCAAGATGTAAAAAATAGTTTCAACGACAACTCAAATGGTAGTATCTTCTTCTCCAATGGACAGCGAATGCAGACGTCCGAAGATATCTCTTACCTCGGCATACATGTGACCAAGAAAATCGATCCAAAACATGAGATTAGGAAGCGCATCTCGGCAACTATGGCAGTCCTCAAAACATTGGACATTTTTTTAAGCTCAACACTCGCTGCAGCAAAAAATGGAAGCTGTTAGTATACGATGCATGTAATACCAGCAAACATTTTTTATTGTTTGGTAACTTTTGAACCCACGCAGGGGGCGGTGCAGCTTCTCAACACATTCCAACTCAAAGGACTTAGAAAAAAAATAGTTTGCGAACTACCTACGTCCAACGTGAAAATACCAATGAAGCACAGCCAATGAAGCGCTCAATGCGCCAACTGCAGGGCCATTCAGAAAGAAGGAAAACATGACAGAGAAACTTGAAGAAAGGAAACTCAAATTACTCGGACACGTGCTCAGAAGAGAAAGACAACACCCTCAACACCAAGTTACTTTCTCCACAACATCAGCAATGCCAAGAGAAATGGCAAACCGCAGGGTGGGTAGACCAAGACTCTGCTGGACCACAAACAACATGAAGAAGGCCTGGCACATTCTGTGTATCAAAAACCAAGCTCAGCCAAGACAACATTTCCACAAAGTTTAATCGCAATATGAGAGAACAAATTGTTGCACAAACAAAGCAATATCAACCACCCTTTCAATAAAATCTATTCAGAAAGCAGTCGCAAGAATCGCCTCTCAGTGTGAATATCCTTAATGTGAATCCCAATGTGCATCTCAGTGTGAAATCATCTCACCTTCACACTTCATGCATTTGCCTATTTGATCGCAGTCAATGGTGGGGACAGTGAGTGCGCCGGTTAGTGCCAACGACTTGTCGCTTTGATAGGTGTTATGGCGTAAAAAACAGGGTATAGACCCCGAAAGCCAGACGCCATGCCCATTGAACCAACCAATAACATTGATGTTGTCCAGTTGTTTTGCCTTCGCTGGGAACAGGAGCACAGGCACTGCTGCAGTTCTTGGCCCTGCCAGAATGCCCCCCCAGGTCTAAAGCTTAAGAACACTCGGAGTCTAGGGGCCTCGGACGGGCCTGTGCCCCAAAACTAGCTTCCCCTAAGAGTCCGGGGCCCTCCCATCCTCCCGAACGCCTGCTATGGAGGGTCCGACCCCTGCCATGGAGGGCCCAAGGATTTGTGTGGGTGGGACGTGATGGACAGGATGAACAAAAAGCGTTTCTTGGCGCATGCTGAAGTCTGACGTCCAGTCCAAATAAATAGCATGCTGAACGGAATGCAGCACTTAGTTTATATACCCTATTATATATACCCTCTAAACCTGATCCGTCAGAGTGTCCATGTGGCACAGCTAAGCTCTGCAGAGGGAGAATCTCCCCTCATCTCCAACCCTCTCCATGACAGGAGTCACCAGTGTCCAGATGATGCACATCATCCAGGAGATCGGGGAGCCAGAAGACGATGGACAGACCCTTTTTCAACACGGCCCCCAACTCGGAACTCTGGGCCGATGATTGGCCGATGGGATGGTTGTTCCGATCCATGCAGGCATTAGGCATTGATTCCATGCATTTCATGCGCACATGTACATGGAGTGCACATGCGATACTCGCCTGAATGGTGGAACCTTCCGGACTGGCTGTCAGAACTGGGCCGGTTCAAAGTAGCATGAAATGCAAGGGGTCACATGGAGGCCAGGGTGGTGTGGTGTCGCTCGTCCAGGGGCCGTGGATGTGTTCTTAGGGCATCCCGACTACCTCCATGGATAGCACCCCGACATGAAACTGGTGTAGACTCTAGATTCATAAAACCTTCCCAAAACGAAGAGGTTTCACCATCCAATTCGGTCAATCATGAATCAAGATGAATCAAGGCCGTCTACGTTCGTCGGTGTCTACTCCGCATGCGCACGCATCGACATGAAGGTGACGGTGTTTGTCCTGTTACTTTTGATATATCCTAGGGCTCCAGTCGTACCTCCTCAGAAGGTATGACTGGACCCTCCTGGCACCCACCCCAGTCCCACCTTCAAAACAAAGGTACTTGGAGCCCATAGGGATATGATTTGTAGAGGCCCAAGAGTCTTTCGAGAGGTCAGGCCATCCACTAGAGGTTTCAGGATGTTCAGCCTGCTGGTATCTTTGACAGATCGAGAGATTGACCGATCCAGGTGGATGTTCAGGTGATGAGAGTCTTGAACATCTTGGAGGTATATATTAGATTGATGGGTTCACTTTGAAGCTTTATTTTCTGTATTTCTTTGTCTCATCGGACATTATTCATAAACAACCACCAGTGGCCTAATTTCATCGTATTTCATCGTATTGTTGCATAGACAGTTTGCTATTAGAGGCTTATATTGGAATTCCGATCAACTTGGCTACACACCTTGGGTTGCATGAAGCGTAGCTTCGACATTGTTTTTCTCACTTTGTCTTTTTCTTGTGTCCATTCCAGGGGCCTTAAGAGCAAAAAGGAACACCTCGTTCTCAGTTGGGCCACGCAGGCATGACTTAACCCATTTCAACCACCACCACCCTTTCTGTCCCACACCTTACCACCCTCTTCCACCCTTTGCAGCTCGTTCTCACTCACTCACGCCGGAACCGCCCCATTTCCACCTCATTCTCAGATTCTTTGCAGCTCGCCCACGACCCTCCGACCCTCCGACCCACCCCACGGGACGACGCGTTCTCAGGAGGCGCAGCTCTTGGGGCCCAAGCTGAGTCGCGCGGAGGCGCAACGCCTCGTTGCACGGGGTGCCCAGCGGGGTGGAGTGAAGCCGGCGCCGCGGTGGAATTGGCAGCCGGTAGCAGGGGCTCCGGTTGGGGGTGGTTAATACAGACATTGACCTCTACAATGAGACTCTACAAGAGGAGAGCTACTTGGACACCCCTTTAGGGGGCCCTGGTAGACTCTTGACGAACACATGGTTACGTGAATGGTCATGGTCTCCAAGTGGATGGATGAAACTTGTCCCTTGGTTTGTCCCCTATATAGTAGAAGCAGGAAGAAACAGGATCGTTTTGTTTGGCCACTTCCATTCGGATGTCTTCGTGGGAATGTCCCGTGTGGACCCCGCATTCTTGGTCTCAAGCTGCTGGGTACTTCCATCGAGTGAGTAGATCCGCCCCGCTGATCTCAGACCGACCATGGCATCTTTTGGCCACAAGAAAAGTCACCTGACGCTCCTTTCGCAGCATTGGGACCAACCATGATCGGCCGTACAGTACCAGGCCTAACGAGGCCGTTGGACGTGAAGGGACATCCAAACCTGCTGCTTTGACACCTCCCAACGAGGGGGCCCTCCATATATCCCGGATCCAAGCCAAAACAGTTCTCAGGTTCGGCGTGGGACGCGACCCCGGCACCATCCGGCACCAGTGTCTCCGGCACCCTCGCGGGATCGTCAGAGGGCGGGAGCCGCTGTGGGAGCCGCGGTCCGCTCGGTGTCCACCGAGGACCGGGAGCTGGAGCGCTCCGCCGAGCGAGGCGCGGGGCCTCGAGTCGAGTGGCGGGTGGACGGCGAAGTGGAGGCGTTTGGTGCTGAACCCTAGATATGCCCTGGGAGTCAAAGACTATAGAAAGAATATGAAAGAATGGTCTTGTTTTGGGGACCTGAAAGGGAACTTCCTTTGCTTCAGCCGGTCAAAAAATAGTAGTTGGACTTCTAGGGTATGTGTGGGTTTGTCCGAACTGACCTGTAACAGTCAACAAGCACATGTTCATCCCCAGCTGGATCCGAAGCAACACTCCCAAGACGAGACGGTACTTCAGGTCTTCAGATTGCATTCTCGATGCATTGCTCCTTAGTAGCGTCCGATCGCTCCTAGTAGTAAGGCCAGGAGCCCCGAACGTAGCGTCCGATCGCTCCCTTCGTAGCGATGCCCTTTTTGCTCCGTTCGTAGCAATCATGGTACATGTTTCATCATTTTTCTATTTTTGGACAAGGCCTGCAACCTAACCTTCATGATTCATCCACTGGTAGGGGCTCCAACCAGGGTGAATTGGACTCGCCTTGACAGGAATGGGACTCGAAATCGACAAAGGTCCCAAAAACCCTCCGTGCTCGTTCAAAGCTGATTCAACCGAAACGCGTGCTACCCAGAAGGGGCCTCATAGGTCGAGCATCAAGATCCTACAAACCTGCACCTTTGCCTGGCGTCCACATGCCACCCAGAGCTGCCGCTTGAAGCTGCTTCAACCGAAACGTGTGCTTCCTCGGCGGAGAACCCTTAAAGGCTCAGCGCGCAGGTCCCGAAACCTACCAGGTTGGTAAGCACACCATCCAGGATCCAAGAATCATCCAGCTGAAATCATTGCGCGCAAGTGGTACTGGGCCTGGGTAGTCCTGCATTTTTGTCGCGTGTTTCTCTCTAGCCTTTCTTCTGAAGGCGAAGCTTCAAGTCCGAAACTGCTCGCACAGTCCTCTGCTCAGTTTTTTGTTGAGAACCCTTGTTGCGCAATGCAGCGAGCAGAGCCGGTGAAGCTCCCTACAGTGCGGCTGCCTTTGTCGGAGGTCAGCTTGTCAGCTGAATCAGGATGGAGGCCTACAAACCCCGCGCAAGCAGCAGCTTACGGATGAGATTCCTCGGCAAGCGTTAGAGAACGGTGTTCTCTAAACCTTAGACCGCAGGAGATGTGTCACACAATTCCCAGACACGACTAATGGGACTGCCATAGGACTGCCGCCCCATTGACCCCCCAAACCACCACCCCAATGTAGGTAAATATGCCATACATGGAGTGTCTGGGATTTTTAATTTATATGCGTGGTGTTGGAAAAACGTCAGATAATAACCTATTCTTATAGGTATGCTGTTTGCCGCCTCGCTAGCCTTTGCAGCCTTCTGGAGTGCAAACTGACGGACCAGACTTCTCGCCGCGCAGCAGACTGCCGTGGTGAGTGGATGCTTGTCATCACTCAGATCAAAGGCAAAGATAGCCCGGATGATGCTAAACCAACACCTTCAGTTCGGGGTCACCTGGCTGAAAGCCCCAGCCCACTACCTAGAGATCTCCAGACACCCCTTTAAAGGTCGAGGATGATACACTTTGTGTCCCCTATCTAGTTGCAGACGCCTTTTGCAAGAGCACTCCAGAAGACAGGGTTCCTCGGCGGCGTATGGGTGTCTTCCGAGCCACCTGACAGAGCCGTAAACCTTCAACCACTTGGAGTTCTTGCCCTGATCTTTATTCTTTAGGTGAACACTCGTTGCAATGGCCTTTAGTGATATTCTCAAATCATCGATGGAAGCGGGGTCCAAGATGATCGAGGATGGGGAACTCTCAGGGCACAAGCAAGAAGAGACCTCTCCAAGTCTTCACCATTTGCAAGTGATCGTTTAGAGCTTCCCTGGCAACCGGCGATCCGATTCAACTGACGTAGCCCCTGAACATCGCGGGCTCGTTTTCCTAAAAAAGTTGCACCACGTTTGGAGCGCCTTCGTAGTTGAAACCATCGTCCGTCGTCTAAACAAGACCTTTGGCCTGGTGCGGCAAGGCCTTGCAGGCCTGTGGATTGTCTTCAGCTACTGCAGTGGTAATCGTTACAACGACCGCCAGCATGAAGGGTGACCTACCAGTGTATCTCTTCCGCAGGAGCGTTAAGCCACACCAACTCTATCACGGTGATCTCTCTGCTGTGGAATGCCACTTGGCATCTCTTGGCCTTGCAGTCCGCCGGAGGCGGCCTGGCGCATACAATTTTTGAGCAACAATGTTTAACTCTCTTTTTTCGGTCGCCTTTTCTAAGGTGACACCATGAATTTGGTTGCTGCTCCACAAGCGCCGCAACAACAGCTTGCAGGCTCTGCTCCCGCGCCACAACACCATCACAGGGGCCATGCACTGATCTGCAGTGCCGCCAAGAGAGCGGTACTATAGAGCTTCATGTTTCCGCTGGTGCCGCCGTTCCACTCAGCTGGGCCAGTGACCGGGTTCCGCCCTTCACTGTTGTTCATATTATAGCTTTGGGGGTGGGGTCACTTCAATCAATCTAACCCGTCTCAGCAACCAGATGCGGACTTCGCATCATACCTCACTGTCAGTGCTCGCACGCAAATGGTGTGCGGCATGAAGGCTGGTACAATTCCCATGCAAAGAAAGCTCTCTGGTGCTCGAGCGAAAAAGTTGCCACTCTAAGGTGAACTCCTTGGAAGACGCGTGCAAAAAGCCTCCGGCGCTGCCGCTGTCTTGATCCAGTTCGCTGATGGAGAAGTCAACATCCTCAAGAAGTCTTGGCGCATGCCTGGCAAGAAAACCATGGCCTTCGATCTTTGAAGGCATAGGTGCCCTCGAGACCTCGCTTTTGTATGCTTTTGTCGCGGGTGCTTCTGGCGGTCTCTTTCGGCGGCTGTTCTTCGCAGAGGCAGCACAGAGGCAGCACAGCTCACCAAGAAGGTCGCAAGATGTTCTATGTGGACAACGCGGAAGCACGGCGAGCCAATGACATGTGTCTTCGTGGGCTTGGCTTTGGCGACAACTGTCGCAGTGGCCAAGAACGTAGTTGTTCCGGACTTGTCGAAAGCCAACTGCATGCATGCGCACGCCCCTTTTTCGGGGGGCCACCGAACCTGAGGATATGGGACAGGAGCTCCCAGTGCCAATACGCTGCTGAGACATCATGGCGCTGTTGTGCGGCTTGTTAGTTTTCAGAATGCTATAAGAAAACATGGCACTGTTTTGAGGAGCCTTTCGGGGTGTATTGTTTCGTTGTTTAAGACATGTAGGTGCACCAAGTAGGCTTTCGTGGCTCTCGAAGAGGAATGAGTTTGAGCAGTGGGTTCAGCTGAGTTGTCCATTCGGGACGGGTGTTGCGAACACATGAACACGCTTTTCCTGTGCCATGGAGGACTGCAATCGCACACTCAAGCTTGTGGAATGTTCAGAGAAGTGCGCGTGTTTTCCATAATTTGGGTCCATTGACGATTTGGGAGGAACATGGAGGAACTTTGGACCGTGCTCAGGGAAGTGTATGTGTGTGTGAATTTTTGATTGGAAGGGCGGCACTTCCTGTGCCCAGTGGGAGGAGGTTCGTTAATTTCAGAATTTCTTACGTTTTGATTCATGCATGGTAGTATAGTGCTAGGAAGAATCACCCGAATTCTACGGATCATGAAGGTTTCAGCTACAAAGTCTTGACTTAGGTTTTCTCTCCCTGACCTGAAGCGTGTGGCATGTTCTATCTTTGTGTTCTACATGTTCTCCACTCTCAACGATGTTGGAATCCACCAGTTGTCCCGTGGTCCGTTTCGTTCCACCGGTTCGTGACCGGCTCACCCGCAGGGATCCTCGCCTTTGATCACTTCTCCGAGGCTCCGGGGCGGGGCGGGGCACTCGGACCGACGTGGGGTGAAGCTGGTGCGGTCGGACCTGCGTGTGTGGTTTCGTCCGAGAGGCGGACGTGGGCGAGGGGCGGCAAAGACGTGCCTGGGCGGATCCTGGCGGTTGGTTCCGAAGGCGGTGGTTGGGTGGTACCCGGTGCGTGCATGTTCGAGACCTCCGGGCCGCCCTGGCTGGGTAGACGGGTCATGACGGGTCATGACACCTCTTCCCACCATGGGCTCGGCTGACCCAGGGCCCCGTTTCGGTTGTCTAATCAATTCTATAGCTCCTTAGACATCCTTAGGCTAGAGGTTACGAGGTATCCATTTCACCACCCCAAACCTGGGGCCCTGGGACATGCCTTTTTTCAAGGGATCGGCTCAATTTGACCCACACGATCCCGAAGAAGGGTGTCCTAGTGCCATTCTGAAGACCCCAGGGGCCGATGATGGATTCATCCGGCTCCCCCACGAGCTGGATTGAACTTGCGTGAGGGAAAAAACACTCAAAACAGGCTTGGGGGGGTTGAAATCGAATCCATTAAGATCCAAGAAGTCTAGAAAATCACTTCACCCCCAGTCTTGCATGTGCCCAAGTACTGACAGTCTTGCAAGACCATATTTACCGATCAGTTGGGGTGGTTGAAGTCGGGGTGATGGGTCGTGACGGTCGTGTCTTGCAATAACTTCTGCTTCGTTCGCCCCGCTTTCAGATGTCATCTACGATCTGCAGGATCACGGCTACACGCCCCATCAAGACATGAATCAGCCCAAGCATAGGCGAGGCCTCCAGATTTCCCTAGAAGTCGTGGCCCACCATATTTTAATAGCCAGAATCCCGAACAACTTTACTAAGGGTTTTAACGCGACAAAACCAGATCATCCGTTTTAAACATGGTCGACTGGACTTCCAGGGGATTTGAAAGCATTTTGAGACCATTCATCAGTCAAGACAACGTAAAGGTTTTATTTTAGAGGCTTCTGTGTGAAGGACCCGCAAGAAATCTTTGTACCATACCTTGGGTCTGTCCGAACATACCTGCAACATCCTGCAACAGTCAGTAAACAAGAACATCACTATTTGTGAACAAGGCCGCAACCAGGCCCCGTCATCATCCACTGGGCCCTGGCAATGGGATAGACCCAAACCATATCATAACCAAATGGAGATCCACCCAGGAACCTTTTTGTTTTTTTTGTGTGTGTCCACTTGTTCGACCCCCAAGTCCGGCGGACGCGTCCCATGTCACGCGTCCCATGTCACGCATGTCCACTGTGGAATGCTTCAGGTACCGTTTTCTTCAGACCTTTGTTCATCATATTTTCATATATTTTCAGGATATGAGCATACCAGAAGACAAATGAACGCAACATGAACCATAGGATGTGAGCCCGTTTGGGAAGCACCAGGACCCCGAAGAAGGGGAAGGACTGGCCTCCTAGCCACGGCCAGATCCTTTTTCAAATCAGCGAGCAGCTCGAGTGTCCTTGGTCTCAGGGGGGGGGGAGGGCAGAAGAAGCCGCGACCGTTTGCACGTCAGACCAGGTCTAAAGACCCAAACCTGGTCCGACAGAACCTCATGAAACCTCATGACACATCAGAGAAGGAGTGGTTTTTGTTTGCATCATCAGCTTCGGTAAATATGAAGTCGTTGACCTGATGGCGAACCGTTTGATGCCAAAACACCTATGTCACGAGAGTTACTCGTTGGATGTGTGGACCAGAGGACAGGATGTGGTCCGTAGTGCTGGGGGGAATTGTGTTTCAGCACAGGATTGTTCCGCCGCGATTTGCTAGCTTGACTCTGGACACTTCTGGGTGTGTCCCTTAAACATTCGACAAGAGAATATCAGAATATCACTATTGTTTGAGATAGGCCTGCCGGGCCTGTAACCGGACCTAACCATAATCCCCTGCTCCAGGGAATTGGACATACCTCAATTCTATACAATATATAATAGTTTACAGATGTTTACAGGATACAATGAAGAGGCTCCTGAAGTGGATGCTGGGAGGTTCTTTTGGAGGACCTTCTTTCTGCGACAGGCACCGAGTCCACCGCTTCGTCCAGCGGTTCATCGTTGGTTCTTCAGACGCACGGAACCGCTTTCCGGAAGCCGTTGTTTGGAAGTGCTGATGCCTTGTTCCAAAAGGCTAACTGCAGATCACGTGTGAAAACAGAGTGCCATCGCACTGGCACCTGCAAGATGTCTTTGAGATGGGAGCCCAATGAAAAAACAGCACCACATGTTGAGGGATTGTGCCATTTGTTCTCCATCCAATATAGCTCGATCTATAGCGACTTGCCACTTTGAAGCACCTAAGCTTCTAGTTCTGCCTGCACACGGATAGCAAGGGAGGTGCCAATTAAGGTTTTTTCACCGATGCAGGCCGGACAGCGTGAGCGACTGGCCAGGCTTCAACTGACGCCCCCCCGGAAACGGCGCAGAACAAACGCGATGAACTTGAAATGGTCACTTGGGGTCTTCGCTGGTTCCCAGACCTGTTTCGGGGCACTTGGGATGGTTGAAAAGGGGTCAATGATGGTCCATGTAGGGGCGGCATATCCCTAGTGATCCAAGTACCTTGAAGGTGATTGGACACAGTTATGTAGCTTTGGAGGGTCCAAGTACCTCCTGAGAAGGTACTTGGATCCCTAGTAACAGCCAGTAAACATCTATCACTATTTTATAGAAAGGCCTTTAGTAACCATCAACATGCACTGTTCCTAGTAATTAACACTGACCAACTGTCTGGAAGTAAAGATCCACTTCACTTCGTTAAGATGCAAAGCGGAACAAAATCCACTGTGACTGGTAATAGGATAGGCCCAATGTTTACTCTTCACCGCGTGAAGATCCGCTTTCCTGGATGTAGCATGATGTAACAGGTCATTTCACAACGTCGTGGATCTCAAGAAAGAGGTCAGATCGTTAGGGTGTGCACCATTACCAGCAACGGTTGGTAAAAGGCTATCACATGCTATAGCACTATTTTTCAGAAAGGTTTGCACTAACCATCATCATCCACGCTTACTGGTACTGGTACTGGAATGTGCACTTGCTGGCTTGAGGATATCCAATCCCTTTGGGGTGTCATTCGCTGATGTTCTTGACAGAGCTGTGTTGGTTGCCTCAGGTTGCCTACCACTTGTAAAGTTGCGGCCATCTTCCAAGAAGCGAGAACGGCCACACATAGATAGCTACCACACAAACTCTAAAATATGCAATGCTTATTGCCAGCACCTTCCAACATGTGGTTTTTGGACACCCCGAATCACCTCTAAGAGGCTATTTATAGACACCTCTTGGTGTCGGTCCTGCTAGTGATATCTTTGGATCTAATTGATCTGCACCCTAAAGGGCGAGGTCTTCCAAATACCGTTCCCTTGGGCGACGTGTTGGGACTCCATCGTGGGTGAGTGGCTGATCTCTCGGTGTGGCTGAAGTAAGTCGCTTCCAGGTAAGCTCACCACCGCTCGCTTGGAAAGGACTGAGCGACCGGCTTCAGCTGGATGCACCATATATCCGGTGAGGTGCAGTTGGCAGCGCAGCTTTTGGGGGAAGCCATGAGGTGCCATGAGGTTACCATGAAGTGGCTTGTTTTTGGGGGATCTCTACTTCCCAGCTTTCAACTAGGATCTTCTAAAGAGATCCCCACTTGAATACCTTGCACTATTTGGGGATCTGATCTTCATTGGGCACTCCTTGCAAAGTTGAGGAAGTTGAAGTTGCGTGTCTGCCACGAAAGGCTTCTTAGTTTTAGCAGGCACGCATGTTCCAATGCCGATATTTATGCGCGCCGCCGCAGCCAGGAGGAGTCTAAGGAGGTCAATGCGGCAATGCATAGGACCGTTGTGCCAAAGCTGTTGGAGTCTTTTTCTGCGAGCGTCACCAGCAAGTTGCGCCATCAAGCACAGGTGGCCCCCACACACACACATTCCCCGGGCTGGCTGGTCCGGGTTCCAATGGCGCCCAGGTCACTACAGCGTTGTGGAGGACAAGGTGGTCGCGCTTCGGAGGTGGAGACAGACCGTTGGAGTGAACAGATTTCGTGTGTTTGTATTCAGGCGGGCGCTGGGTTTACGTCACTAGGCACTCTTGATAGGTTGGGTCTATCCTATTACTTGCACCATCTTGCACCAATCGGTAAACAGTTAAGATCAATGAACACTATGTGCCAGAAATCGCCTCTACTTATTATCATCGTCCACTGTTCCTGGTTTTGGGCTTTGCCCAAATGTATATATAGGCCTCGCGAGCTTTCAAGGCAGGCCATTTGGAATTGTGTTGGGGAAAAGGGGCGCGGTTGTGTGCTTGGCCAGGTCGTGATTTTTGATCTCATCGCAGACCGTTTGATCGTTGAACAAGTTTGAGCCCCAAAGGGGCTTTGGCTCGGATAGTTCTACGTGCCAGGGTGCAAAGTGGATTCTCGTTTTTACAGTAGACAGGCTCAACAGCTTGGAATGTTGCCGTAATAGGTCAGGTATTGTAAATGGAAACGGTCCACTTGCCGAGGTGGGGTTTACCAATGGCGCGGGCTTTGTACACGGGGACTTTTTATGACACATGGGCTCTTACGCCAGGCATGCCTTGTACTTCCCAACGATAGATACCCCAAATGGGTTCAATCAGGTTGCAACTTGTTGAGGAAATTTATCCGTACTGCCTGCGGATGCTCCGGGGCTAGCATGCCGGGCGGCGCTTTTGCAATCCCCCAAAAAATTTGTAAAAGGGGGATTGTAGGACATATTTCGCTGTATGTTGCCTTATAGGATTTTATGTTCGAGTTCAACATGTGTTCATCGCCTTTGATGTGTTTCTAGCTGGGGGATTTTGTGACTATTTTTGTCAAAACGTTTCGTTATAACCTTGTTTTATTTTCATGTTTCTTTGTTCTCTTGGGTTGTTTCTTCATTAATTGCGATGTTTGGGTTTATGGATTGTAGTTTATAGTGTAGTTACAGGTTGTAAATGTTTATGGGTTTTAGTTGTAATATAGTTTCAAGCTGTCCATTGACCTATTCCATCCCAGTAGTGTTCAACCAACCTCGCTAATTGTAATATAATCATTCTTTTGTGTTTTTCTTTGTTGTCCATTTTATTGTGGTTGTAGAGCATGATTTCACCCAACAAGTTATGACATCTCACCCTGACCGCCCTCCATTTGCTCCCATTCCACGGCTTTGGGTTTCCCGACAGAAATAAACGAAGAAGTCGTTGTAGTAGTCGTCGCGAGCGGTGTGAGACGGGGAACGGAGACGGTGACGACGGAAGGAAAAACATCATTTATTTATCAAGACTTATAGCATGACTACAACCCATAAAAATTTGCAACCTATAACATCCTATAACCACAGTATAATTATAACATTTTACAACCCATAAACCCAAACATCGAAGAAACAACCCAAGAGAACGGAACCCAACATGAACAAAACAACAAACCCTAACAAAACGAAGAAACATGAACAGAAGAAAACAAACAAGGTTAGGACAACATGTTTTGACATACCATTTTCCTTCCAAAACCAAAAGACAAACATAGACAAACCACCTGTCAAAATAGAAGGTATTGATAATTTTTGTTTGTATTCGATTGCTTGTTTCTCCCATGCAGATGTTGAACGCCTGGCCCCGTGACAAGTGTATGGCAGGTCTTTAGGCAGGTCCCCAACATCAACGCAAGGCCGCATGGATTTGGTTCATTTTGTGTGCAAAAACCCTTTTCATCCACACTGTGCTTTGGACGGTCCTCCTGATGGGCTGGGCCACTTCCTTGTTCGTGCCCCCTGACGACGTGGGTTTGGGCGAAGACGTGAGGCTGCAAGAACGGTCGTACGTCGGGGTGTCGTTTCCGAGGAGGTTGGTGTGGAATTTCTGCCAAGGATGTTTTGGCGGTCATTCGCGGTGATCACCGCGTTGAACACCGGTGGATCGCTGCCAAAAAATCCTAAAAACAGATAGACATCGGACAAGGGTGTGTTTGTTTGGAACACGTGTTTGCGTGCTTATATGTTTGTGTGTCACTATGGTACCATGTTAGTGAACGCAATTGAACTGACCCCTTGGAATGAGCCAATGCTCAAGTATAGATAGCTTTGCAAGAGTAACGCATGGGAGTTGTTCCATCTATGTTTTGCCTGTAATTACTTGGCCCATCTTGGTCCTAATGTTGGCATTGATGTGTTTGCATCAACGTTTCTATTAAAATAAAACGGTTCGCCCCCAACATAAACGACCCCGGGCTAGCCGGCGAGCTGCCCTAATCACGCCAAAAACGAGCGGATCCTCAGGGGGCAACGGCACACCACGTCTCACCCCCCGTGTTTCACGCCGCCGGGACCCGCGGATTCCACCGCGCCCCCGGCGTCACGAGGAACAGCCGAGAGCGGGCGAGCGAAGGGCGTTCGGCGTCATCGGGAGCGAAGGGTGTGGAAGACCCTGCCTGGGTTCCATATGTCCCATAGACACTCACGACTGATGGGACTGCCATAATATGCATATGCCTACATTGGGGTGGTGCCCAGGTCAATGGCAGCGGCATATATGGCATACGGCATACGGCATACATAGAGTGTTTGGGTGTAGTATATGTGTGGAACATTGTGATTTGCCGTGTGCCCCAGCTAGAATATGACTTCAATTTCCAGGCTCCAATATCCAGAAGTTCGCTCAGAATGGTTAAAATTGCTGATCTGATTTCCTCCTACCAGAGCTGATTGATCATGCTTGCTTGGCTCGATCGTGCGGCCTTTGTTTGTTCTTCTCTATTTTTGAGCCAGGTATATACGTAGGCTTCGAGCATTCAGGCTCCGGCCAGACTGGTGGAGGACAACAATGGACAACATCTGTTTGTTTCCCACATTTGCGCACATGTTCCGTTGGCAGGTTGCCCAATAGCTTGCCCAGCATGTTTATATAACCGTTCTAAGCGAATGATGTGCACCAACACCCGACTCTAGTCTCCTTTGGAGGCTTTTGGGGCCGTAAAGGTCGCAGGTGGTGACCTGTCCCAGACACTCCATGTATGCCATATATGCCTACATTGGGGTGGTTTGGAGGGTCAATGTAGGCATATATGGCATACATGGAATGTTTGGGTGTTATTAAGATGAATTAGTCCCCCTATTAAGATGAATTGGTCACCATCCATCCATGTTTTGGCGCTGTCAGGTGCAGACTCTTGAGCCTCTTTAATATTGACATTTCTACACCACACTTCAGATTCCAGATGGCGTCGCATGCGCCGCTTCAAAGCGAGATGGATCGTCAATTCATAGCTTGCGGCACACAGAAAGTGGGTATTGCTGGTTTTGGCTCAGCTCAAGCCTGATTTTCATTGTTTCCTTGCATTCCCAGCAACTCTTACAATACATGGATCAGAAGGCGAGACTTCTTTTGCTCGCCTCATCTCGGCTCGAGCCGGCCCCCCGCCGCGGCGCCAAGCCCGCGGCGCCCTGCCCGATGCCGTGACCGGGCGCCGGTGACCGGTGACCGGTGAACCGGTCACCGGCGGAGGCGAAAGGAAAGGCATGGCGGAGGAGGCGGTGAAAGCATGGGCCACCAGCCTGGGATCTCAGAGCCATCTCCAGGTGTCACGGTCCACGAGGTGCGACATGGACCGGAATCGACTGGGGGGAAGGGCAGATCGCCACAAGCGTGAAGAGAACCAGTGAAGAGAACCGGATCGGACCGGATCTCGACTGGTCGCTGGTGGAAGTGACTCATGCGGTGCGTCGCGGAAGGATTTCCAGATACCGAAGGGGTCACATGGGAGCGTTGGAACCAGTTGACCGCATCAACCAGAACCGCCCGGTTCAAGCGGCTGGCTTGGTGGTGAAGAAGAAGACGTCTTATAAAGACACCAGCCTGACCATGTGCTCATCCTGAAGCATCCTTTGAAATCCGATGGTCTTTTCGCAGCCGACCTGGCCTGCCATCGCTTCGACCTGGTCGGGAGATCGGGTCCAAAGAAGAGGCCAGTTCAGCTTGACTACTTTTTGTGGCCTTGCCCCGAAAGGATGACGATTCCAAAGTCTTGGTTTCGTTGTTTTTTTTGGGGGGCGGGGTCCCCAGGCGTGCATTCCATTGAATTCCCTTTTGTGGGGTGGAGGACAGATTTTCCGTGTTTTTTTTCCGGTACTTGGACTTCAAATATCAAGGATCCCAGAATTATTGAATTGGTTTAAGGGAAAACCTATTCAACAAAACAAACTATAGTTTTGGAGATGACAACCATGGTTTCCCGAAGTCCTGTATACGTTTTTCATGATTCAACCAAATTCTGGTGACTTTTTCAGAAGAGAATTCGGGGGTTTTCGCACCCACTCTGAGCTTCCCTCCTCAACACGCAGGGCCGGCCGCCCGCTCGTCGCCTTCGCCCAGGTGAGAAGCCGCCGGAGTACATGGCCCGCCGTCGACCGCGCTCCGAAATCGGCGCGGGGAGGTCGGTCCTCGGATCAGGTGCAGCATGCCACCAGTGTGTGCAGACCAGCCACACACTTAGGATAGGGTGTACTGAACTGAAAGCGGCGCCACACGCCGGCCTAGGGTTCCATTTCCTAAGAATACGAATAAGAAAACACTGCTAAAACATCTCTTGATCCCGGAAATAGTGGGTGCACCTACTGAAGGTAGTGAAGCAATAAAAAGCAGATCACAAACAACACACATGGAAGTACGGACACAAAGGGCCTGTATCCCTTTGCAAGAGCTTGTGCCCTTATGCGCTCCATGATTCCAACATCAATGAGGAGTACCAAACATCAAGTGCATGGACAACCATTATCATTATTAGAGCAAACCATCCGTCGCTTCGCGATGAAGCCCCTTAGTTTGACCGCCTGCGGCTTTCGGGTTCAGACAGGCCCCTCAGGCCCCCTGACATGAATGGCAATGATGGCCCTCTTGGACTGCCCAACTCCACAAAGACAGGAGATGTTTTTCACATGTTTTCAATATACCCTGAAAGCTAGCAGGCGCCTTTTTCCTTTCAGACAAGCTAGTCTGGACAGGCCTTTTGCAAGTCCACTGACCTTTTTCATCAGTTCCATGTTCCAGACAGTGTGCCTGAAGTGACAGTCTCCAAGACTTGAGGCTGTTTCCAGCCTGGGACGTGAGGAACTGGTCCTTTCCAGCCATTGAGGAACTCTTCCAAGCTTGGTGGGGCGGCTGGTTGGGTTCCAAGAGGGTGCCACATACTGGGCCCCCCACCAGATGCCTGCTCTCACACCTTGGTTCCAACGGTCTGTGGTGAACTCACCATTTCCGGTTGGAGTCACGGCCCCCTCGGTGGTCGCAACCCAGATCCATGGCAGGTCTGGGCACAT